AGGCCTACAGCAGGGAGGGAAAGAGACGGAGAAATGCCTCTCGTACCGTGCTATTCGTGATGTTCTCATTGAGTGTGGTTGCTTTCAAGGGATAGCAGACTAAAGAGTTTCCAAATTTAAGACTGTGACATCAAAACCTTAGCTCAAAGTTTTCTGAATTTATAGTACTTTGCAAAACTCTTTAGCCACAAGGTTTATTTATTTTTTTTTACTATTCCAAAGAGAGGTAGACTTTCTTGGAATATTTGACATTGCCTTATTAAAAAGTTCTTTCAGTTTTGTTCCTAATTTTCACCTTTTTACTGTCTGTTTAAATTTCCATTCTTAAAGAAAAGAGTCACAGTTGCATGTACATATAGAGAAGCAGAACAAAAATCGGAAAACTAAATTCTCGTGTGTTGTCAGTTTTCGTAAATGAGAAATTCCCCAAAAAAAGATGGTTTGACAAGTAAAATAATTTTTGCTCCAATGCAGTGAGTCATAAATTTGTAAACCATTAGCCAAATCCTTGGCACACAGTAGCTTTGCATTTTATTCGTTGTGTCCTAAGCTTTCTATACTAAAACTAAATGAGTGGCATAAAAAACTGTGGTTAAACAAAAAAAAAATGCTTAAAGCTGTTGAACAGAGCTTGAATTTATATTATGAAAAATCGGGGGGGGGAATTGGTCCATTCATTGTGTCCTGTAATCCCCTGAGAAATAGTATGATTTTAAGGATTTGAGTTTTGTTTTTAGAAAGGAAAACTGAAAGTAAAAGGTCTGGTAAAGCAAATGGCACAATGCTTTAATACTTGGTCTAAAAGGGAAGGGTAACAGGTCGGTGGTGGAAATCATGAAGCTTTGCTTTGCTTTTTCTTGAGCTAATCAAGAAGGGCTCATGAAGCATGCAGGTCTATAGCTGTTAACTATGCAGAAAGTTGATGCACACTATGCAAAACAACATCCTCCACTTGGTTCACTCTGGAATATTTAGTGGTTAGGAAAGCCAGACACTATTAGATCCACTGACTCATTCTTTCACAAATGTTTGTTTTATACATTTGCAACCAAAGAAGTGACTGAAACAGCTGAATTCAAGGACTTGGATGAGACAGGTAACGTATGACGGAGCATGTTTGTTGAAGCACTTCTCCGTCTTCCACGCTGCTCTCTCTGATTGTCACTTTGATGATGCCGGCAGGGTGGTAATAAATCTGCTGGAACACTGATGTAATGAAAAGCTCTACCTCTGCTTGAGAAAACATGTTCACCGGCAGAGACACACCCTGAGCTGACCTGCAGCTGTAAACACACGTTCAACGCCACCTGTGAAGTGTGAGTCACACGGAGTGGGCGGAGCCAGAGGACGAACGTGAGCTCATCCTGTTCCTGTACCTTCCCACTGTTTTCTTGTTTTTCCACCTCTCCTGCCTATTCTTTCCATTTCTCCCTTTTACATCACTTCATTTATTTTCTCTACCATTGTGTGTGTCAGCTTGTATTATTCTTTTCCTTTACCCTGTCTTTATTGTGGCTTTTGAGTGAGTGTGGCCCAGGTAAATGGTTGGCCAGTCTGCGTGCGTGTGCGTGTGTGTTTGTGTGTGTTCATATTGGTAGGGATTACAACTAAAGCAGCCAGCGTGAGAAACAGGAGATGCACAAGAAGCGTGAGAACGCTACCTGGGAAACAGCTGGGAATGTCTTTGGAAGAAGATGACCTTGCACGCACTCGACCACACCAAGTGAGGGATATGAACTGAACACGCACATTTTTATGCATGTTGAATCAGACCTAACTGGGTCTGCTTTTATCAAAAATCAGTCATTCTGAACTAACATCAGTAACCATCAAACCCTGTTGTCTCTTGATAATAGTAGCACTACAATACATAGAGGAAAATTAAATGAAAGTACACAGGAAGGATTAATTTGTGTGACAGTTCACATGTAAACACAGAGAGAAAGATATCAGCAGAAAGCGGAAAGCATTCTTTGTTTACTCCAGCTTTGCTGGCTTGTAATGAAGTGCAGAGAGAATGATACAACAACGTCAACATGATCCAGAGCGCCAGCTAAAGAATCGGGTGCGTGTTATTGTAAAGAAAAAAAAACAGGAAAGAGAAACAACTGTTGACTACTGATTCACAAATAGGAAGTGGTGCTCAAGTAGATGTTCATTATTGTCATGTGTGTCAGTCAAACAGGCCTGAACATTTCTCACCTCATGATAGGCTGAGTCTCATTATCTGTTCAATCATTACAGTCACAACCAACAGGTGCCATGTTTCATTCATGGACAGGTAAGATGAGCTACGGTACCTTTCAAAAGTATCTTTGCTAAAAAAAAAAAAAATTATGTTATGTTCTTTGATCAAAACCCTTCCATTGTGTTGCTGGAAGGCAAACCTCCACCACAGTCTGCAACCTTTTTGAAGACTTTTTTGCCAAAACTTCCTTAATTTAACTTCATTCATCTTCCCATCGGTTTTGAGTGGCTTCACAACAAGCCCTGCACTAATAACCAAAAATTGATAAAACTATATAAAGTGCTTAAACCTTATGGCATATGTATGCATAAAATAGTTGTGGTTGTGGTCAATATAATGGGTGACACAAATTTTTGTCTAACTTCAGGTTAGGCCAGTTGCATTAGTTGTAGCAAGTCATTTAGGTCCTTAAGCAAAGCAGCTCAAGGCCATCACTGCCACCACCATGTTTGACTGTTGTTATGGTGCCTTTTTTCTGAAATGCTGTCTTAGTTTAACACCACACATAATAGGCTTTTTAAAAGAAAACAGAAGGAATTCACACCATCAACCCAGTATTATACTGAAAATATGTCAGCTATTAGTGGTCACTCAGGACAACTGAAGGCTGTCTGTTTTGATTGGGTGATGGGGATGGAGAGTGGGACTTGTGGGGACGTGGAGCTTTACATCCACAAATGGCCACACAGCCTCCTTGCTTTTAAAAGCACACACACATTTATACACACAGTTGCTAATGTGGTGTCCCAGACAGCTTTTCCGGAAGCGTACCATTTCCTTTGGAACCACTGAAGGTCCCTGTCCATAAGTCGGATGACCCCCTTGGGGCCACAGGCTACTTTATGCTACTCATATGGACCTCTCCATTCTTACATCTACTCCAGCCCACCCCCACAGCCCCCAGATAACACATATGCTCACTTGTGTAAATGGATACAGAGACTCGTGCACACCCAGACATACAGACGCTATTCACACACAATGAAGTTCAATGGGTTCACAATTGCAATTTGCATGGTCTTATCGAGAAAGCCTTTATTTGAGTCTAAGGTAAAGTACCACGTCTTCCATATTTGACTCAGTCAACATAAAGCACTGAAAATATCACTCTATCAGCAAACAAGCCACAGGAACAGGAGACTTGTCAGGACAGAACATGCCTGCAACGTATTTTCTACACTACATTCATTTTAGCAAACTGAAAGAGTCTTAACTTAAACATTAGCAACAAATCAAGCAGGGAATAGACTCAAAAATTAAATAACAGTGACAGGATTTTTGTTTTAATGACAATATTTCCCACTTTACTCTCAAGGATTTTGCCCTCGCATTAGCCCTGTCTGTGCTTCTGGGACATCTGCCTAATGTATGACCTCCACCCCAGGGCTATTATTCTATACCCTCTGCACTGTCAGTCAACCAGCACATCGCTGCAGCTCAACCCATCTGTTTCCAGCTGTTCCAAACAATTCCTCCACAACAGCTACAAAACTTCAAGGAAAAATCTATCATTTTCAGCTTGAGTGTAGGGCTTCATAAACAGTATTTGCACTACTTTTTAACTTTTTTGAGTATCCTACATCTACGGATGTACATGGTTTTTGTTGGAATTGTTTCTCCTTGTTCAACATGAAAGAATTCATATTTTTAATATAAAAGGAACGTCTTTTTAAACATCTTTTTTTATACAAATATAAAAAGTGTTACTTGACCTTCCATAAAACCCAGTGCAACCAGTTCTCTGCAGTAATCACCCACCCAGAGTCCTGTTGTGTGTAATTTAATCTCAATATAAATTCAGATGTTTTTCAATGCATCAGAGGTACAGCACATTAGAGAACATGAGAATAGCATCATGAAGAACAATAAAAATAGCAGACTGAGCAGGAAATAAGTATAGCAGTGACATAAAAACTGCTCAGATTTGATAAGGAAGAGGACAAAGCTAAAAAAAAAAAAAGGATCATCCTGGATGGAAACCTGAAGAAGAATTGTAACTGGAGGAGAGGTTAAGCTTTTATTCCACAGATGAAATGGTTCAGGTGAAAGCATGTTGATGTGTTGGAATGGTTCAGTCAAAGTCAAGACAGTAGTGTCACAGAAAATCTGCAGCAAAACCCAGAAATCTGTGTTCATAGATGTGCCAGCCTCTATCTGGCTAACCTTCAGCTGCATTGCCAAAAATGGAATGGGAAATGTTTTTTGTCACTTTTATCTAAATGTTCAATACTGTTTATGACATACCAATAAAATAATCAGGGTCAAAGGTGGTTTTGCAAAGTATTAAGACTATTAGCAGATTTTTATTTATAATAAAATAAAATGCAACTAGAAATTATGTTTTGTTTTCCTTCCACTTCCTGCTTATGTTCTACTTTGGTTTGGTTTCAATATAAAAATAATTTTAATATGTCTGAGGTTTATAGTTTTCACCTGACGTTATGTGAAAAGTTCGAAGGTGTATAAATATTTCTACAAGTGCACAAAAACTTGGAATCATGCCTGCCATTCAAACAAAGAATCAGCATGATTTTAAATCCCTCCAGCTGTTTCAACATGGCTTGAGGTCGGGACAACCAGGCACACAAACAATGACAATGCTAACACTGCAACTATTGCTAGATAAGCTCTACGCCCAAGTTTTAAAATTATGTTTATAGACATAGAAAACAAGACGTGCCCAATTTTTATTTTATTCCGACAAGTTATAAAAACAATCTTTTTGAAGATGAGCAAGAAACACAAACCAGTCTTCAATTTTCTTAAATATCATTTATTGCATGTATCTATAAAGAATCAATACAATCTAAAGCAATAAGCTAAGTTTAAATTATCATTTCTTAGTAGCATCACAATGTGCATGATATGAAATATTTACAATGAAGACACAGCAAGGCAAGCCAAAGCCCATGTCGTAACCTTTTTTATGATGCTGAATAAAAACATTTTCCAAAATGCAAAACACTGCTCAAAACGCCAAAAATAGTTCATTAGCCAAAAGAAATGAAAAAAAAAAGCCAAAAGATTTTCCATTTCAAAATCTGAGGACAAAATTGTACAAATGGCAAACATTTTTGATTTCATTTTTTTAAAAAACATTATCAACATTATTTCTACATTTGGTTCATCTATGTAAACTAATTTTTCGAAAGGTGTAAATATTGCATAGATGCCATGTGTGTCGTACCTAAGTATCAAGAAGTAATTGTGTCAAGTATTAATCATTATTTTCTCTCTATTTTTTTATTTTATATTCCAGAACTACAGCATTAGAAAATGTCCTCATAGTGGCATCCATTTTGCAAGACAGTAAAAGAAAAGAAAAGAAAAAATAAATCAAAAGCCAAACCTTGTTGGTCATCGTATAACTTAATTAGTGCTTTTGTTGTGTCAGGAAAAAAATTCACTCAAACACATACTATGTACAGTACAAACATATTCTTTAACTTAACACCTCTGAAATTTTCTCAGCAATTGCTCAGATGTAATTGTCTGTAACACCGCATTATCTACACTATATAGGCGAAGGTACCTGTGAGTTAAATAAAATGCTTCCCTTGGTTTTCGTTCGGCGAGTGTAAGTGTGGTGGTTTGCGTTGAGTACATCTGGATGTCGCCTTGTTGAAGCCTGCGTTCCCAGGCTCAGAACACAGCACGTACTACATTCAGCGTGTCTCGTGTTACAATCTGGAAAGTTTGTAAATGCAGGACCGCGCAGAGAAGCCTAATCAAAGGGCGGGGCCCTGTGGTCCTGCAAGGTTTGTGTGCCACATTGCTTTGGTGACAGAGCGCTGCAATGAGGCATCAGGTGAGGGACAAATACTATCCTAGGCTGTATAAATCGCTCGCAAACATTCATTCTCCTGACGCTTGTCCTGACTGGGCATGGACCGGTTTCTGTTGTCAAGGCTTTCAAAAAGTTGAACTTTTATAGCTGTCAACATGTTCTGCCATATTTTCATTTTCAGCGATTGCCACTGCTGGTTAGCTGGCTGAAACAAGGGTGCCTCGCTCTTCCCTCGCTTATGAGAAAGACCGATTCAGCTGTTTGGAAATATTTCTGGTTGGCAAAAACAAGGGCAGTCATGCTGTGGAAACATGAGTGTTTGTTGCTCTTGTTAAAGTAAAAATATTTTACTGGCAAACTGGCCTATAATTAACCTGCTCATTAATATCTCAGTCTACATAGCACGCCCTTGAAAATGATCCCAACATTTTATATTCTTATCATAAATTTCCTGATTAGCTCTTTGTCAAAATAAATAAATGCCTTGATACTGTGAAACTGGTGTTTTTCTCCAAAGTTGTCATCACTTTAGAATCTCACACCGGTCCATGCCCAGTCCAGGTGGGTCATCGTTTCCTGCAGCATGTCACAGGTGAAATGAGACTTGTGCTCAGACAGGCAGACACAGATGTGATGCTCTGCTGCGCGCGCCTGTGGTGCTACTAAGGTCATCCTGGCATTAATTATCTCTGTGTGAAAAACCATGTCATGGATCACAATAGATATATTACTCTGGTCTTTGAATACATCACTTTTGTTATAGATGTGGCAAGATACGGAACTTAATCTCAGAGAGGCTGGCTCTGATAAACATTCAGTCAGTTAAAATGATCATGTAAATCTTTGATACTGTGTATTTAAAGGTCCAAACTGAAGGGATCCATCAGAATGAGGCTGATGGCGAGAGTAAGGCTTTGGATTGATGGGGGGTTTTTTTGTACTTTTTTTGCATTTTATTTTAACATTCACCTCTGAAAATAAATATTTCATATATATTTCTACTGTTTGACTCAGTGCTGAGGTAGGGTTTTTTTCTTTTCTTGTGTAAGTAGACATTACCTTTGACTTTTAAATAAGCTCCACAAATGCTATCTTCTTTTTGCAGCTCAACCCTGTATGCAGATTCTCACACCCTTTTCATTTAATACATACATACATCATAGATAAATAAATAAATATATATCAGTATTCATGAAAGGTTTTTTTTTTTTCTTTGCATGTAATTGCGTACGCATGCTCTCCAGGTTTGGTTCACAGGTTTTCAGGTGAGAAAAGTCTGACAACTACTTGGCTGAAGCCAAAATAAAATCCAATTCTAAGTCTGTAAATGGAATAAACTACTACAGTAAATGCTGTAATAAACTACTGCAGAAGAGATTGAAGGCCTAGGAAATGAGATAAAGTTACCTATCTAGTGTTAAGAGTTTCATATTCTGTCGGAGTTCTTGGTCTAGCACTACAGCAGCAATGGCACCTGGATGTTTGGGTGCTGAGAAAAAAGGAGAGGAGGGATGTAGGTCAAGGGTCAAACGTCTGTGTTTCCATGGTTATGGCCGTCTCCAAACCCCCCACAGAGGGCAGCGAAGAGGTTAAGGGACGTCAGCTGTCCAACTGTTGCAGTGGTGACTTAATCATCTGGATACAGCGGAGTTTCACTTTCACAGGAAGGGGAGGAAGAAGAAGAGGAGGAGAGGTGGGAAGACCCATCAGTCTTCATTCTGGAAGAAGGGGAAAAAAAAACTTTTTAGAACCAGATGTTGTACTGTGATAAAAACACATGTTTCTATTCAGTATCTTTTTAATGGAGAATGAAAGAAAAGGTCCACAATTTGGACCTTTTCTTGGAAAATGTCAAGTTTGTGTTTTGGGTAGAGCTGTGTAGACACCTCAACAATGCTGGAAAAACTCGGGTGTTGTTTATTGACTGTGTAAAAAAGACTATGGAAAAAAAATTATGATCTGGTACACTATTTTAAAGAAATACAACCTCTGTTTATTTAGAGGGGCATTATTTTTGTTAACAGTAATAAAAGCAGTTTGGATATATGAGAAAAGCCCTGAAATTACACACCAGATGAACTCAAAGTTGTGTCACTTCCTGCTACAGCAGCCTGTGCCTTCTGCAGTAAAGCAGTGATACATAGAGTATCACTGCTTTTATGTATCTCTCTGGCTGGTGAAGGGAATTAGATCAATTAGTAGATGTGTCCTTTGGTTTATCTCTTTTGTTCAGCAGTTATAGGTGTGGTGTCTCAAATGTCATAATACCGATATTATTGTTTAGCCTGTCTGGAACTGGGTCCAAACACCTCAAACTCCCAAAACACATTGGTTTGCTTATTATATGCTTTCATTCTGTAAAACACTTCAGGCGTCCCATTAAGGAAGGTATTTTTTCCCTCTAAAGAGAACAAAACCATTGAATCCTCCTATTGGACACTTCAAAACACATATTTTTGCCTTTCCTTCTGTCACTGTTTCTTTTTTCTACAAAATGCTGCCAGATCATTTAGAAGTGGTAGATGCTTCTTCAGTGATTTTTTACAACACAATCTGAGAAACAGAAATAAGGTTTCCAATATTTTGGTGGCAATAGAACCATGTGGCAAATAGAAAAGGGCAAAAATCAAGTTAAACCTGGACTGAATAAGTATACAGTGAATCCCCCAGTATGTGAGGTAAAGGTTGACAGCAATATAGCAAAAACCTGAAATCTGCAAATACTAGCAATGCTTTCTATAAATGCTTATAATTGTAAAAAAAAAAAAAAAAAAAAAAAAAGTTTTTAATTTCTGAATCTAGCATCTGCAGTCTGCCTTATTTCCGCTCTGGGAGAACAACCAATCAGTGCCAAGAATCAAGATTAAAATATTTTGCTTGCAAACAAAATTTCATCAATTCTTTCCACCTCCATATTTTGAAGCTGCTAATGTTTTCTACCCTTTTTATAGTTTTTATAAATAACCAGTTGAAAATAAATACTCATTTGTGTAGAAAGGGCTTAATGGTCCCACTTTAAACAACAGTTGCCCTTCGAGGAGTTTGCTTTTGTGTTGTATATGCCTCGGCTGGTGAACACGGAAGTGGCAGGGGGATAAAACAGTGAGGCATTTAACACTATGCAGCTGAAACATGACAAGACTCTCCTGCTGACTAAAAGAAGGGAAAATACCAACGCTGTACCTCAACAGAACTTTCATCTGTCCCTAGCACTCAGACAAACGCATGAGCTTCCAAATACCCAGAGAGCACGATGTTTGACGTCTAGCATGTCTCTCAGTGGAAAGCTGCACTGACCTTATGCCCCTGTGTACATGTTTGTGAGGTTTCATTTGCATGCAAGGCTATCAGATAGGAGCGGAAGTCTTGGCCGGCTGACACAAACACGCACACACACACAGAGATAGCGGCTGCATTTCTTCTCTCGCTCACTGCCTCCTCTGCTTCTTCCTGGCCGTGAAGAACAAGAGCTGTTTTCACAAAGCTGGATGTGATCATCATTCTCTAAAACAAACCTTTCATTCAGAATCCCTATATACTCCCCTCCAACCCCTCCTCCACCCTTTTCCCACTATAAACATACAAACACACACACTTCTGTTCTCTATCTCTGCTCTATATTTTGCCTTGAAGGAAAATGAAGATAGTAGTTTGTTCTAAAGAGAAAAAAAAAAGCACAGGGAAGTTGCTTGAGGGGGAGTCGTTGTCCAGGATGCAAAAATATGGATCTGGAAAAGCTCGTTTGAATAAGCGGATAATTGATTTTACTCCTGAGGTCACCTGTGCTGGCGGAGAGGGAGGAAAACAGACATGGTGGGGTGGGAAGCGGTGGAAAAACCACAGTAACAGAACGAACCTGACAGAGAGGAACGGGAATGCAGTGAGGTCATGGGACTCGGAGACCATACCGATCCAAATGTGTGTGAGGGGATGGGCTAGTCAGCAGCCTGTAGAGGCAAGCACTTGGGTGAGAATGACTGCGATCTGCCGGGAAGGAGAATTGAATCACCTTACCAGCTCAGATCAACAACCAGGTGTGGCTGCTAAAAACAAAGTGATGCATCACCCCTCTTCTATCTATTTTATTTTTTTAAATTCCTAAGAACAATAATTGCAAAGACGGCGATCGGCCACACACAGCGCTTTTCAAACCCAAGAAGATTGTAGCGAAGAAAGGAGTAGGCTGGAAGGTTTGGGAAAGTGGGTGTGTTACTGGGAGGAGGGGATCCAGCAGGGGGGGATGAACCCAGTACCCCCTACCCCTCCTCCTTTTTACAAGCACATGCACACACACCCCCACCTCTCACTGCAACAAAAAACCCACCCTCGTGGCCCCCACTCCCGGCCCCATACCTGCCCACCCACACCAACACAGACACACACACAAGCTCTGTTCATTATTTATTTAGTTCACTCAAGCTAAAATTAGCCCCTGCTCCATTCAGAGACACAGTTATGTATTAGCAGACTCCTCTCCGGCTCTTCACTGTCTGTTTGCAGATGAATCGCCAGTTTATGTCACCATCTGTCTGAAAAACGGGCCAGTAAACGAAGGAACGAACAGGTCCGCTTTGTTTACATTCCTAAACCTGGTCAGCTCCTCCCTGATGTACAGCAGCGCTCAGGCCAAACAAACACCGGCTGACCTCTCACACCTGACCTGACCAACAAAACAAAAACAACAACAGCAAGCCAGGCTGTTGTCCCACACCCACAGCATCAAAATTTATAATTAGAATATTTTTCTTTCCCATTCAACAAATGTATATAATGTCAATAAACAAATTATTGACATCATTAGCAGTCAATAAATCAATATACATTTACTATGATGTGCATTTGAGCATACATATGAATGATTCTTCATCATTTTGACTGGTTTAAAACTTCTTCCTAAAATTAAAGGACCTTCTTTTTTATATTTTTTGTTAAAAAATCTGTCTAAAATCAGAATCAGAAAGTCAGACTATTGGAACAGCAAAGCTCAGCTTATCTTTTTTTGCAGGAAGCTTGTTGTTAGGTTTCAAAGTCCTGTACCGAAATGCCAGAAAAAGTGTCGTACTGACTGGACCAGCTGAACAGAGTAGAGAGGTGCAGCCCCTCACTTATTATTCTATCAGTTATTCAGATAATTAATTGATTAATCTGATAAAAAAAAAGACCAGGACTTTTTGCAAGTTCTTCATTTAACCACGTAAGCCTTTTTTGTACAATATTAGAAAAATATTAAAACATGCAAATATTTTTTTGCAGCAAAGATTGTGTCTGCAACTAAAGAAATACTTCCAATATAAATGAAAATTTCAGCCATTTCTGGTTTCTACAACTTTTTTATATTTTATAATCAGGATTATTATGGCACCAGAATCTCATACCGACAGATGTTTAGTTTGCAGTTATCCAAATAAATTAACACAAAGAAGAAACCCTCAGAGCTGAAATGAGGCAACACCTAGTTGTTTGGCTTAGAGTAATTACCTAATCCATCAATCAATCATCAGAGCAATATGTGCTCTAATTTTAATTCAGGTGTCTGTGATAAATGATGTGACAGCTCCATTCTCCACTAAAACAAACAACTGGCAGGATTCCAGTCCAGAAACAGAAAGTCATCATACGTGACTTCAGAACGCTGCACGATCATAAACATCAGATGTGCGAGCTGTCTTTACATTAGATCCCTCTCACCTGGCGTGTTTTTGGGTACAGGACGAATACACACACAGAGCCACTGCCTCTGCTTCACCTTTCGAAAAACAAGCTACTGAACAATGTCTAATCCTGAAGAGAATGTAATCCGTCTTACCTCCGAGCTAAATTGAGGATACGTGAGGTTAACTTTGTTTTGATCTTGCGCTGGAACATCCCGCCCTACTTTGCTCAGAGTTATGTATCAGAGACGCTGCTTACGTGAGTCTGCAGGCCAGGGGGTGTTTGGGACAGGTGAGGATGCACACAACCCTGTGTCCTAAAACTGAGATGCACTTAATATGAAGGAAATGAGACTGAAATGAGAATCTGGACCGTTTTCTAATGTGCACAAACAATTGCCAGTGAGTTGTGTGTAAAACCTAATCAGAGATTCAATAAACAACAACAAGCTCCCATGTGCACTGGATGTCACAATGTTTCTGAAAAACAGAAACCACAGTTTTGAAGAGCAAAGACGAGGAGAAACGGGGGGAGGAGGACGCACACAGGAGGAAAGAAAGGGGGGAAGGGTTTCGGGTTGGCTTCTTGAAACTGCTTGGCCACACCCCCATCTCCCCTCTCTATCCCTCTCTCTCTTACACACACACACACACACACACACACACACACACACACACACACACACACACACACACAGGCACCCTCTCCCTCTGTTGTTGTGGTGGCAGATGGTGGCCAGTCACTGCCGTATTGTCACTCTCCTCGGAGGAGCCAGATAACCAGTGAGTACTGCTTGGCGGGGCAGGTGCAGAAACCCCTGACCCCACCACACCCCCACTACCCACCATCTGCCGATAGCTGTATATCTACGCACTTAGTAGTGGCACACAAAGTCAGAATGTGTGACTGGTGGGTGTGTGTATTTTCAGGGATAGGGGGTGGGCGAGCAGTTTGGGCCCACAAATGGAGAGCGTGAGTCAGTTTTCCCCCTCCGTCTGCACCCGTGCAGGACTGCTTTGATTCAAAGAACCAAATGTTGCGTAAAAAGAAAATAGGAAACAAAAAAGCTGGAAAATTGGGGGTTAGAAATGACAAAAGGATGATGAAGAACATTAGCAGGTAGTACAAAAAATGGGGAAACAAAAGGAATAAAGAGAAGGTGTTAAAACAGCAGACAGGCCTCCGTTACCTGTTCTGACCGAAACATAGACATTTAAGTGAGTGGATTTCTCATAATCCTTTCAACACAACACCACCTGACACCCAGACAAGTAAATGACACAAGCTGTGTTTCCATCAGAGTTCACTTCAGGGCATTAGGAAACACTCACAAAGCGGTCTAAGTTTGGCCAAAAGCCTCCTCTACATTTTCAAAACATGTTTTTACGCGTCCTTCAGGTAGATTTAGTCTCTTTTGAAAAAGAGCCGTGGTGCATACACAAAGGTGGACACACCTCTAAGAGTTCACATCAAAAATTAGCCAACTTGCGGTAGGAGAGAATTTTTAGATTGTGCAAAGAAAATGTCAGTAAATTTAATGTGTAATTGTGTAAGGTAAGGCTTCACCAATCAGGCTTTTTCTGACTGATATGCTTCTCCTTTTTTGACAAAATTACATTTTGACCTTCCAACTATTCCTTGTAGGAAGAATGTGATGCAGGCTCTTTAATAGAGGTGTTTGTTTTGACAAAATAAGTGAATTTAAAGATTAGTTCCCTTTATCTTTAAGTGATTTTTGTATCAAATTCAAAAAATGCATCAAAGTACATGCAATTGTTTGATGTATTGATGGATGGAGAATCACCATCAAGTATTACGTTTTGAGGTATTTAATCAACAAGAAGAAACTGATTTTTGGTTTGGCTTTTTCTGATCAGGGCAGATAAAGGGAGAATCAATTAGAAAAATTCATTGGTGCCTCTAATGTAATAATTTTTAACTACTACCTTCGACAAAAAAAGATCACTCTGCTTTTAGCTCATTGCAAGCATTTGAGCGCAAACTTTCCATTGGTACAAAGAACAAGAATAACATGGTAATTTGACTAATTTGCTTTGTTTTTGTGAAAAGTCTGAAAGAGTCCGTCTGAAATTTGCAACTCAAATAAAGAGAAATGCGGCTACTGTCCGCAGGCCAGTAACGTTTCCAACGGAAAACCTGCAGAACTTCCTCCGTACACTGACAGACAGGAAGTGTTAACAAATTAGCAGCATCTTCCTTCTATGATCTGGGATGACACATCACAACAGGTGATGGCCAAACGTACATGAAGAATGGCAGGAATGCAAACAACAGTGTACCAAGCGAACATGGGGAATGTGGTAAAGCCTGTCAACTTGTAGTAAACAGGTTCCGCTTTTTTTTTCTATAAGAAATATTTGATATTTCGATGCCAGAGGTCATTCATCTGCAAATGGGCAAAGACTGACTAACATTTCCCCCTGCGTTGTGTAGATGAAGGCATGTGACTGTTCTTTTTTTTTTTTTTTTTTTTCGGCAAGAAACATTTGCAACCAGCAGATTTTCTCATTCTTGTAAAAAAGTTCAAACTTTATTTCACCTTATTTCAGCTAGATGGCTGACACTGTGTAGCAACAGGTGGGGGCAAGGCAGCGCTGCCATCATTAATGCCCCAATAAACAAACAAGCATCACATTTCCAGGTCATTTCACCTTTTTGGTCATTTTATTTATCTGACTTTTTGGTATGTGAAATTGTGATGTGTACTGTGAGATGTTCTACCGTGCGTCAATTTGTAATTCATTATGTTAACGTCTGTAACATAATAAAGTTACTCGACCCCAATAAATTATCACTCAATTGGACATTTATTGTGTGAGGAAACAGCTCCAAATGCGGATCAAAACGAACGGAAAAAGACTGTAATTCAAAGTTTTCAACTAATAACATTCAACTGAATCATACATTTAATTTTCGAACCTTTATGACTATTAATTTCTTTATATTATCCATAAAAATAATCAATAGAGAGAAGAACTAATACTTAAAAACAGAAAAGAAAAATTCTACCAAACAGTTTGTACACTGAGGCGGGTACCAAAGGGATGCATTTACCCAAAACCATATCCATACAGGGAGGAGTTTCAATATTTCTGAACAATCCAGGAACATTTTCAACAGGTCGGAAAGTACACGTTTACAGTGCATGTGTGTCTCTTTCAAGACAACTATCCCCACACAAAACATGTTTATCAGAGCTTGTTCTTGTAAAAGAACATTTCATTGGCATGTTTGTGAAGTTGCTCACAGAGGGGGAAAGGAAAAGAATCCTCCCATCACCCCCTCCTCCTCCTCCTGCTCCTCTAAGTCCATCCCACCAGGTTAGAAAAACAAGTGAGCATTCACCTCTCCCAGCAACCTTTGCACACTGCCCACATTCCAGCTCTGAAACCCAGTACCTGACAATTGATAAACAACTGACTCACTTGTTTTTCTGGGGAACCCGATGACTTGCACTGAGCTCCATGCCGGCTGTGGCTCAGAGAATGAGAGCCTTGGCTGAGACCAGAAAGGGGAGACAAGCCCAGTTGTGAAAGCACAAACACTAATTAAACTCTACTATTTCACCATCAGAAACACAGATTTTTGTGACTCATGATGATCCTGTCTTTCTGTATTTTCTTTTCAGGCAAACAACTTCTAACATGCCCCTGCCAGGTCATCAATCTCTGTAAATAAACCCCTGCCATTTACATGTGTATGAAAAGCCACTGATGCAACACTGAACAAAATGAGGGGAAAGGTAATATTTTGATGGGGGGTGGAATACCGCTGCTCCCAAATGTTAAGCCTTTTCATGGTTACAAAACACAGCGGAAGACACTTTAAATAAAACATATTCTAGATCCTTCTACAGTAGGATCGTAATGTGGTGCGTCACTGTATAAGATTATTTTTTATTTTTTTCCTGATACACTGACGTGGCCGAAAACTGCGTCATTGAGGGAGCTCAGAGCGAACCATTCACACAAAACACACGATGGAAGCGTCAAGCCAAACAGAATACACCATAAGAAGCTCTTTCAAAATAAGATGGCTGCAGAGGAAGAAAGTATGACTCTTCTTAGCTAACTTAGTAAACTAATGAAAGTGCAAATAGACAATGTGCTGCACCCAAAATAGACACTATTTTCTCCATTTGTATCATTTGATTACTTCATAATAGTAATTCAAACTCTCTTATTTGGGAAGAGAAATAAAACTGTTTCCAGTATGCCAGCTCTGCAGTTTCAAACAAGACGAAAGACTTCCCCAGAATCACATAGCCTTGAGATTTTTCAGTGATGGGTGGAACGAGTAGGTGACTAATCCTATCTAAACATCGCAGCCCACACCCGGTAGCCATGTTAATAACTGGTTTACTTCTGCGAGACTTCTGCAGCCTGTGTTTACATATTAGCAGTGGAGGAGTAAAAGAAAAAAGACACAGTTGATTACCGGGTGCTGGTTATTTTCAACACACTATATAGAGTCAGAATTATGAGGTTAGGAAAGATCTGCAAGGTAAAAAATAATGGCCAAACAGGCTTGATGCAGATGAAGATATATGTTTTGAGGCAGGTAATGTCATCACATAGAAGTGCAAAAGATGTAGGAAGTGATGTTATGTGTGGCCAATCTCTGGCTCACTGAGGCGGATTATGATCCTACTATATCTACCCTTACACCACTCCCTTTATGAATGAAAAACCTACTGAATGAAAGGGCGTGTGCAATGAGGACAAACACTCACCTTTCACAGCAGCAGTAGTAGTCTCCTTGAATCCCATGCTGGCGTAGGGGCTGGCGCTGAACCCATTTAGACCCCCTTTGCAGCCGCAAGTCGTTTTGAACCTCAGGAATTCGTCGCATCCACCTAACCTGCCTGTTCCGAGGTTCCCTTCCATCAAGTTTAAGGCAATATAGTTCAGTCCGTTTTGATATCCTGCTGACGTTTCCCTGCACATGGGGCTGCTGTGGTCCTCGCCGGGCTCCTCAGAGCTGTGGACAGAGTGGGACACGTTCTCCACAGAAGCGGAGCTGTGCCGCTTGGTGTCATGGGCAAAAGACGGGCACACAGGCGTCACAGTGGTGGTGGAGGAGAAGGTCTCGGAGCTATGGCGGCGACGCCCCTGAGGGTCAGCCCGGATAACCTTGGCCCCCCGGTCTGGATCTACAACACTGAGAGATAATGATGGTGCCCCAAGTAGGAAAGAATCCACTGGCACAGGGGGAACCACATCCACTAAGCTGCTTTCAAGACTGAGTCTCTTCACACATGCAGTGGGGCTGGTGGGGAGGGGGGTGGCATCAGTGGCACAGAGAACAGATAAAGGACCAGGAGGACCAAAGGTCATCTCAGTGTAGTCACCTTTGGTAATAGCAGGCTCACATTCAGGACTCCCTTTCTGTCCCATTGTCTTTGTCTCTCCCTCCATTCTCTTTTCATCCTCCTTCCCTTCAACTCTCTGTGTGTCCTGCTGGTTGCTCACCATGCTGGAGCACATCAAGACATCAGATGTATGGTTAAGACACCCTGTTGGGTGGGAACTTTCTACTTGCTGTGATTGGCGATGAACCGATGAATTGATGTCGATGTTAGCATAGTCTGACAGAGACAGTGATCCCTCCATTGTACACATTACGCTTCCAGCCTCTGAGCTCTCCAACAGTGGGACTTTGGCAGTACTACCAAAATCAATGTTGATGTACTCTCCAGGGCTGCGAGGTTCTGAGGGAAGGGGATGCTCACTCATACATGGTAGTGTTCGAAGGGATTCCAGAGCCAGGCGGGTGGGCCGGCACACCCTGCTGCGATGCAACAGGCCTCCGTCTGATCGAATCAGTTTTAGAGGAGAAGGGAGAGAAGATGGAGTGGTTGGCGTATCTGGGGTACTGCTGGTTCCAGATTCTCCGGGTGAGACGGGACTACCGTTTGACTCTTCTTCTATCCGTTGTCTTTGTAAACTCATTACAACATACTGGTCGGTGTCAGCAGACCCAGTTCGCTGCAACTGTCCTTTGACTGATCTTGGTAGGGAGTTGTAACAATAAGGCTGTCTGTGGTGGGGCTGGGGGTCTCCTGAGAGGCTGAGAAGGTACTCTGGGGGTGTGAGAGAAACCAGAGTGTCAACGGGAGACATGTACAGATACTCTCCATTGCTTGGCTTTCCATCACTGCTTTCCACTGACATTTTGTGTCCGCACCACATAGGCATGTAGCCATTGTCCTCCAGAGAAATACTCCCAGGGGAGTCAATGCGTGGGGCTAGCCCTGCAGTGCAAGCGTGTGAACGTGGATTGATGATCTGCTTTGGAGCAGAAACACACATAGGGCTCATAGGCATGTAGGGGTCATCCTTGGACCCTGGAGTCTTGGGTGCAACTCCGGGCATCATTGGCATGTAGCCGCTGTCACCTTGGAGACTGTTAGAGCTGATGTGAACATCCCTGTAATCTTCTAGTCCACTTCCTTTAGGTGAGGCCGTGTGACACCTCAAAGAAGTCCGGCTTCCACTGGTGTATGTGGCTCTCATGAGAGTGTATTCATCCAGAGAAGCTGAGGACACCTGAGGGGGTCGCCTCTGCTGGCGGGGGGTAGTGAGGGAGTACGTTCGCTTTCGATACACTTTATCCAGCTCTGACAGCCGCCGGTAACCATTCTGATTTTGCCTCTCCATCACCATGTAGCCATCAAGTTCACTCCCATCCCTGGAGGGAGGGGTGTCTGCTTTCAGAGATTCAGGAGTGTTGCTGCGAAGAGTTAAGGGTAACCTGAGGTCCCGTACATCAGCAGGGCTGGAGCCATATTCTTCACATGATATAAAGCCTGCATCACTGGGAGAGCCTGAGAATGATGCACTGCAGCTGGAGGGGCGGGGGACGTTGCTGTCCACACAGTTGGACACATGTCCTGAGCATGGGGTGGCCACAGGCGGAGAATGAGACAGGGGCATAGACATGGACTTACTGTGCTGGAGAGTAGAAGACTCAAAAGTCAAGGAGGGTCGTGCTGTTATGGTGTGAGACCGGCTCAGGAGGGTCCTGTGGACCCCTGGGCTGAGGGGGCTGCCGGTGACAGACATTGGGCGTGTCATGGTGCCATCGCCCTCGCTGGCTGTGCGTATGCGACAAGACAGGCATTTACTACTCACAGGAGATGTGGCAGAGGTGCTGTCAGTACGTGTCCTCCGGGGGAGGCCGGTCTGGCTCGGTGGGAGATTATTCAGATGCCTCCTTGTTGGCACAGAGATGGGGTTGGTGCTAGATGACTGACTTTTGCTGCGCGGGCGGAACTCCGACAGCTCCTTCATGGCTTTCATGGCCTCTAGGATAGTTTCGTGGATATTCTGAGCCACTACTGAGTCATCAGCTTGCATCCACAGCTCCCCTGGACCGATGGCTGCAGATCGACCCACCTCGATGAAGAAAAAGCTGTCGGAGTGGCCGCACCTTCTGATGTTCATCAGCTGTAGTACGACAGAGGCGACCTCCGAGTTGAGTTTAACAAAGCTGATCATTCGGCTGGAGAGACAGAGCCTGTACACGCCGGTCAGATTCCTACTCTGCCCCAGTCCCCTGGATTTGAGGTTAACCTGCCATACCTCCTTGTAGGCGGCGGCCACCGGCGTTATTACACCGTAACTCGTCTCGTCGAAGCCAACCAGTGAGGACGCAGAGTTGGACGCCGAGCCGTCACACGCTTTCCCCTCGGCCATTAGGTCCGTCAGCGCCCGGTACCAGTTCTCCTGCTCTTGCTCGTTTTCCGCCGCCACGGCAAAATACTCGTCCTTGGTGTAAAGAGCAATGAGATACTTGTGTTTCGCGTCCGCTCTCTTGCTGACGTTGAGGCAGCAGTCCAGGGGAACAACTCTCTTGGCGGCGGACTTGTTCCTCCATTTCTTCTCGTTCTCGTAGTACTCCAGCCGGGCAGGGAATCCTTCGCACGGCTCCTTTAAAACGAAAAAGCGCTTGTGTCCGTGTTTCTGCTTCTTCAGATATCCACATTTCTTCGCGCTGTTATTATTTGTATTACTGGTGCCGGTCATCAGCGCCTGGCCGCCCGTGGTTGGCGGACTCGCCATTCTCGTGCTCCTCTGGTCCAGACCAGACCGCAGCGCTTGGGTTTCCAGGAGTCGCTAGACGAAAAGAAGAAAAAAAAAAGAGAGAGAGAGAAAAGAAACTCCGCGCTTTATGTTTAGTCCTCTATTTCCAGAGCCGTACGTGCGCTCGTCTTCTCCCGCAGCCAAGCAGTAAATAACGCATGCCGGCTGATGTGCAGACTGAAGAGAGGAAACAACATGTGACGATCCACACATCCAGCTTTGGCTTAAAAAAAGGAAGGGAAAGGCGAAGGAGGAAAAAAAAAAAGTCTCTCACTCACTCACTCACGCACTCACACACATACACGCACACACCGGCAGTGGGCGGTGCGCCCTGAGCTCATTGTGCTCATTGGTGGAAACGGGATGAATGCTGGAGAGAGAGGAGGAGGAGACAGCCCTCCTACTATCACTCTGCCCTCTTCCGACTCATTTACGCGTAGTCACACAGCAGCGTAGCTTTATTTATAGCCTCTACTCCCATGATCCATCCAGCCTTTTTTTTAAAGCAGGATATGGATCCAAAAAGACCACCAAATGAGATCTTGTTGTGTAAATCTTTGGGCGGATTATAAAACACCGACTGACACACTTTTTTTTATGTTATCGTTTTTGTAATCATAGAATATTCGCAAAATAAAAGATCAAAATTATGAATTAGACAAAGATCAATTAAATGTTAAGTTATTTTGTAAATAACCTTGTAGAAACAAAACGCCAACATTATGAATCTGGATTGATTAGCCAACATGTGTATATTTCTTTAATATTTAAGTATTTGTTTCATTAATATGTTGCATGTTATAAAGTAAAGACAATTATTGTAAAAAGCTAGTTAGTTACTTCTTATTTCAGTTTTAGTTTTGAATTTACCTTCGTAGGTCGCTATGTTTATATGTTATTTAAAATTATATATTAATATTAACATTAAGGATGAAAAACTATAATAATATAACAATTTTGGAAGGTATTATTTGGAAATAGTAACATAATAATAGTATTTAATGTTTTGTTTAAAGATAATCCATATCTAATAATTATTTCATAAAGTTTTTCTTACATAAATTGTGTTTTGCCTTGTTTTCTTATTAAATAACCCAAATTAGTATTTATAGTATGACTATTAATGCAATTTTACTTACAAAAAATATGTCTGTATTCAATTTGAAAAATTATTATAAATGTTATATAGTTATTTACTCGCACTTAGATGCTGGCACTTGGTCAGAAGTTCATGAAGCCCTTTATTTTCCCTTCCACTCCAGTTATTACAAGAACTTGTGAAATGTGTGCTGTTGTATAACATAACCTGTTAAGCTTCTGCATATTTGTGTTTGCCTGGAGCTGCTCAGAGACAGTCTGTGTCCATCTGCACAAAAAGGCAGAGTAAGGAAGGCTCAAGCATAATTCACATATTCAACATCAAAACATAATTACTGCGTGCAACTTAAAAAAAAAAGAAAAGAAACAAAAAACACCCATATATGGTCAAGCCAAAATTTACGCAAAAAAATAAATCTCCTCTCTTCACTGCGTCACCAGCTGACGGCGTGCGTCATGATGAAATACAGGAGCCAGCTTGGTGTGCTCTGCTAGTCATGCAGCCTGAGAGAGGCAGGAGTCTGTCAGCCAGCCTGACTTCCTGTGGGGAGGGAGAGAGAAAGAGAGATGCACCTCATCCTGCTCAGCAGAAGGATGGTGCTGTTTCACTGACGAAAGCAAGTAGTACACTGTGTCCTAACAGTTATGAATGCAGGTCAAACACAGGAAGCAGATGGAACCGTATTAAAGTAGGGATTCATTTTTGTGTCTGTTTTCACTAAAGGCGTGAAAACAGACACGAGGCATAATAGACATCATTTTGAACAGCATTATATTCTGCAATTATGACAGTTTCTTTGGTGTAAATCATCATCGTTTGCTGTTCATCCAAGGTGCTGGCTCAGCATCTGAGTGTCCTTGGTGAGGCACTGTGCAGGTTAATTAGCCCACCTATTTCCTGATCTTAACTCTTTTTCATTCTTACCTCCAGACTTATAAATTTAGGGGTGTTTTGGTAATTTGTTTTGTGACATATGGGTAACAGATTTCATGTATTCATACCCTTTGACATTTTTACATTTTGTCATATTCCAATCAAAATCTTAACATATTTTATTGTAATATTACTAGCAAGACAATAAAGTGATGCACAGCAAGTGAAAGAAAAACAGGAGGTCTCCATGATTTTTTGTTTTTAATTTTATTTTTTAAATTAAACTGTTCTGCTATTGAGGATAGCATTTTTCAAGAACTGCTAATGATTCTTGGTTTGAGTTGGCTGTGGGCTTTGAATTGCTCAGGCTGAAACAGAGATACACTTTGATCTCTAAACAATTTATCTGGGACTCTGACTGAATGTTGCAGGTTTTCCTTTTGTTTGATAAACCTCAGTTGAGTCTTTTGCAGCTTTTTACATGATTTGTACCAGCTTTGTCTTGTCTCATCAGCATCCCCACAGCATAATGTTGCCTCCACCATAATTGACAGAGTAGACAGTTCAGGCAGATGTGTAGTGGAAGTGTTTCATTCTTCGTGTGTAGGCTGAAATGTTGAACCGCATTCACTTTTTAGGTTTGAGAATAAAGAGGGATGGATATATGCTATTGTCTGCAGATGTTTTTTGTCTGAAGCACACACATATGTTTCACAGTTACACGTTCATGTTTGTGATTGCAACAAAATCTGAAAAATTCAAAGAATGTGAATACTTTTGTAAAGTAGTTTCTAGCAGGCAAATGCTTTCTTGCATGCCACTTAGGTAACAAACTGTTAAATATGGTGCAAGCAAAAAAGTACAAAATCTGTGTAATAAATATTCAGCTTTACATCAATTTTAACTTGCTATATTTTTCTCTTATTAGACTGTCTATGTCAGAAGTATTTCAAGTAGATGACAACACAGCTTGTATAATATCATGACCTGACAGCCAGTATAAACAGAAATACAGTGGGGGTGGTGTGAGGAGAAAGCAGGGGCACTTAGAATGACTCCTTCCTTTTGCATAATCCATGAAGCATAAGAAATTTAATGTATCTTTAAAATAACAATATGATGTTTATTTGAGTGGCCAGCCCGGTGGTGTCTGTGATACGTCCTTGTCCTTTTCTTAGTTAACTACATGAATATTTATTTCCTTACACTACATGGCATGGCGCATTAATTTGCAAGTGAATTAAACAGCCAGCCAAACCTGATTTACAAGGCTTGAAATGGGCCATCTCATTGACTGACACAGCTGGTAATAGCTCCATTTATTCTAGTTCTCCATCCTTTGATGTGAATATTTTACCTTCTGTTTTTCAAAGTCGTATCACTTATGCAAACAAGCAAACAGCCCTGACCTGTCAGAAAACTGATATGGGAGAAACTTCAACCTTCTGATCTAATTGTGGCTGATGTTCAGATACAAAGAGCAGAGTCATAAACTCGTAACATTCCAGTCATCCTTCCTCCTGCACTGTCACTGTTTGTAACAATTAGTTTGACGAGCTTTCAAAAAGTAGATTAGAATCGCTCGGACTGATGAGATAAGATTAGGGACAAAGTGATGGTTGAAGGAAAGGATTAGACCAGGTCATGCACCGCTGACTGCCACATTAGGCCCCTCCTCAAATGAACAGTAAAAACATGTGTTGTTGGCATCAAAACATCACACACACACTCCTCACCTCGCCGCCGCCTCATCTCATTAGTCAAAGCCAAAACAGATTATAGTCGAAGCCTGCGGTGTCTGATTCATATTGTTGTGGCACTGCTGTTTTGATGTTTTTGATCTCAGTATAATCCCCATGTTATTTATTGACTTTTAATTTCTTTCTTTTTCCTCTGTCTTGTTTGTTACTGGCATTTTGTTTGGTTCTTTTTAGGGTTTTATTTTAAAAGCCTTTTTAGGAAAAGAGCTTAATTTAGCACCACTTAATGTTCATTTAAGAAAATGAACACTTGTTTTTGCACTCAGACAAAATGGAGGGGACTATTTCCAGGAAGTTGCCATATCTTTTTGAAGGGACGACTGCTTCAGAAGTCCGAGTTCTTGTCTTTGTTGTTACTGTTTTTATTTATACAACACATCAACTGTGTGGTTCCCAAACAATAAAGAAGTGAAGCCAATGTCAGCAAAACACAAAGCTGACCAACAAAAATTGTGGACGTGTCCGCTGATGACATCACTCTGTTTACATGTCAAACTCAAGGCAAAAATGTTCCTTATACTGTGAGCATTTACATGCAATCCTTTGCACACATTACACCCACTAACATCAATGTATTTCACACAAAACAGGTCATAGTTTAAAAGTATCTGACACACAAAAGTCCTCCAAATAGGTGCAGGTGTTTTTATACATCTATTTCATTTTACTGCATTCAGTTAGTGTTTCACAGAGAACCTTAGTAGTGGTAGTATAATGCTTAGGGGATGAATTTCTTCAGCAGGCAAAAGAAGCTGGCAAGAATTGATAGAAGAATAATTTAAGCTGAATTTAGAGCAATTCTAGATAAAAGCATATATGTTAGTTGACTTGAGACTGGGGCAGAGGATCAGCTTTCTGCTGGATAATGTCTCTAAGCATCATAAAGTATAATGATGCATTAGAGACATTCTGCAAAAACCTACAATTACAATGGTAGTGAAAATAGTTCTATGACTCAACCAAACGTTGAGTTTTTAAGCAAACAATGTGTCTTTTTTCTTACACTTCATAATTTTGCAGCACTTTTTGTTGTTCTGTGACATAAAATGTCTGAAAATACATTGAAGTTTGAAGTTGGAAAATGCCAAACAGTTTAAATGGTACAAACATTTCTTTGTCACTATGTAGCTGCTCAGTTAATCTGCAAAATTTTGAAAGAAGAAAGCAAGTATTGATAGATGAAGCAGTTTTTGTGCTCTTACGCACATATGGATCACCCTGTTCAGTCTCTCATTGTCGCCGGTAATTAACTCAATGCCTGAATCAACTCATCAACATAAAAGTGAAAATTCACCTCTGGTTAATTTTTGAGGTGATTGATCACAGGCAGACTGGCTGGCCTGAAGGAAAGATAACATGCGCTGATGGGTAGGATCACTGTTGTTGAACATCTCTGTAGGAGCTCGTATTGAACCACAGCACAAGTGAATGCAGTTTCGATTGCTCTGGCTGACTCGCTCATTGGTGTGGCTTTGTTCTTTTACATGTTAAACTGCTCACTCGAC